AACGACTATCATCAAACAATTGCATGGCCGGGTCCCACATAACTGACCTATCCCTTTCTCAAGACGGGGATTGTCAAGACATGATACTTTGCGGGAACTTGTCTATGAGGCCAAGTCACACGTGGCCGAGTTATCAGCAGTGGTAAAAATAAAGAATATTATCCAAGGAAAACCTAGGCCGATTCAGAATTGGCGGCTGTGGTTAGCATAACGAACTCCCGATAGCCCACCTCGCTAGGCTCGTGCAACAGGAACCCAACAGGTTAGCAGATACTCATGAATAATTTAGACATAAAATGAGATCGGGCTCGTTGTTTATCCCGACGGTTGATAAAAAGTCAACGGGCTCATCAGCTCCTTGGTACAGCACAATCAACTTCAACAAATAAACACTTAACATTGTCTGCAAATATGATCTATGTTGCGGTGCCGTGCAAGTAACTTGTAGGTACATGCGACATGTTAATTAAGTACATGGTTCGAATCAGCCACGGCCCGTGCTTATGCAGCGACGTGGGCGATTGATTTGCCCAATCGCACACCACTGCTCTAGACACTCTGACCCCTAGCAGCGGGGCTGCCCGGTGGCAGTGCCCGCTTCCCAAACCCGGGGTATACTGAATTAGGTCCCAAACCACCCACTCACAACAGCGACTGCAGGCGATGACGCACAACTCCCACCGAGCAGGTGAGCCGTGAACCGCAGCAGCCAAAGTGATTTAGCATTCGTTATGCTGGTGGAGAGGATGATTTGTGTTTCGTCACGTGATGTACGGATAGATCGTGCTTCCGAGCTGTGAGAAATGTATCCACGCGAAGATGAATGTCATGACACATCGTTTATTTATTTATTTGTACTACCGCGAGGAGAATTCAGTGCGAGTGCCGACTTGGGAAAAAATGCGTAAATAACAATTGACTATACGTATGCACTATGCACTGACTCATGACTGGATGAGGCAAATAAAACCAACTGTTAGCATGATAAACGGACATTTTTTTTTCATTTGAATGGACCGTGGTACTGTTCACCAGAAGCCGAGTTATTGCTTTGCCAGTTTCAGCTAATATCATTCAGTCATAACTCATATCCAGGAAAGCGGAGCCGGAGCCGGAGCCGGAGGGCGGAGCCGGAGGGCGGAGCCGCCGGCACTTTTTTGCTGGAGCCGGAGCCGGAGCCCTCAAAGAAGGGGCCGACTCCGGCTCTTTTTTCTAAGGAAAAAATAATTGACCTAGTTCGGTTTGACAGTACAAGGCATGTGGTACGTAAACACGTGGTACGTCGCATGGGCAATGTGAATGGAAAAAGCTGATTACGTATCTCCAGTGTCCCACAGTATGCAATCAACCTCCAGTCTGCTCCTCCCTCCCCACGTCTACTGCATCCCCAGAACCCAAGGACCGGTCATCAGGTGACGGCCATTGTTTTGAAGCCAGTGCAGTGGACTGCGACTTCCACCCGTATTTAATTGATCGCGTAGGGGACGTACTGAATCGGAACTCGCAGCCGGAGCCGGAGCCGGAGCCGGAGCCGGAGCCGCGGGAGCCGGACCATTTCACTCGGAGCCGGAGCAGGAGCCGGAGGGGAGCCGGAGCTGGAGCCGGAGCCGCGGGAGCCGGACCATTTCACTCGGAGCCGGAGCCGGAGCCGGAGCCGGAGCTGGAGCCGGAGCCACCATGACATTTCACCCGGAGCCGGAGCCGGAGCCAGAACCGATTTTTTCTTCTCCGGAGCCGGAGCCGCCTAAAATGTCCACGGCGCCGCATCCCTGGTCATATCGGCCTTATTTTACCAATCACATGCGCATGAAGCGGTTCAACGAGCTAATCAAGTCATTTCGTTATGGAAGAAATCACGTGGCAACGAAGTGACTTGGCTTCAGGAATTCAACAGATAATTTTGCTGTCGTGAAAAACATGCTGTTGATAGATGTTTTGTAGGCATGATGCTCGTAAGAACAAAACTAGCCCACGCTCGGTGAACAGCTCTAACCTCTCCTGGCTCCTGCACCAGGTAAATCAGTGCCCTATCATGTTGAAGCGTCCTAACTCAAATTCTTCTTTCTTACCCACGGGCCCAATACCGCAACTTCCGAAAACAAATTGCAAGTGCCGATCAAATTTCAGAAATTCAAACAAACATACTAAGCAAACAAACTAACAGAGCCCCTGCCATCCATATAATTTATCAGGGGAAAACGACCAATGACCTATTCCACTAAATGGAAACTGTCACCGTTGTGTGTGTGTGTGTGCGCGTGTGTCGAGGCTGTGACCGATAAGTGACCATACGCTCAGGGGCGGACGGCCGGTCACTGAGGCCCGTATCCGCTCAGTCCTGGATCCGCTCTAGCCCGTATCCACTCTAGCCCGGATCCGCTCTGGCTCGGATCCGCTCTGGCTCGGATTCGCTCAGTCTCGGGTCCACTCTAGCCCGCCGCACCGGCCCAGTTCCGGGCAGTTCCGGCCCAGTTCCGGCCCAGTTCCGGGCAGTGTTTCACGGCCGCTGCTACTGCACCCTGGCAGCGCATTTCTCGAGCTGACGTCACAGATTGTGGTAATGTTGAAGATACCAGTTTGTTGATGTCTCCATGGAAACCCAATTCGACACGTGTGCTGGCAGCGCGCTGGCAGCGGCCGTGAAAGAGTCCGCTGGTGCCCAGGTCCGCTCTAAAGCGCACTGTGGAGACCCGTTACGAGAGCCGCCAATTTGGCGCTGCGGCGGCCGGCGGCGGCGGCAGCGTGCAGTGCAGAGGCAGGTCATCAACCTGCTCATGCAATTTGCAGGATTATTTTAGCTATGCGTACTCGCTGCAGTTGTAGAGGGCGGCTTTATGTCGTTCTGTCATGCTCTGCTGATTTCGGCTAAGGCGCATGACCGGTTAGAATCGGTCAGCGGAGGGACGAGAGGCACAAAGGCGGGTTCAGACGAGCTAGAGGGAGGAAAAGCGGGAGGGTATTGGGGTTCAGTTGATGATTGGATGCTCAGGTTTTATCCAAGCATTTTTCATCCATTTTAACGAATTCATTCATTTTGTCATACTTTATTTCATGCTCATTTTTCATGACGCGTCATGTTTTGAATCGGGTCTGTAAAGGTCTTGCCCCACACACATTTCCCCGCAGCCGTCAAAGACAAGGCAGGAGTGAGCACCGAGCAGTGACATCAACCACCCTCTGTAGGGGAGGACATTGGTAGCCTGCCCGTAAGTCCAAACTGCTACCGTCACGGCATTTGACCGTGATTTCAGCTGCAGCGGACAACAGAACGACCGGCATGCCATTCATCTCTCAGACCAGGTCAGGTCAGGTGTTAGGTCAAGAAGTAGACACAACTACCGCTAGGAGTTCGAAAAGGATGTAGATTATGTAGGTATGTTCAATGTCATTTATGGTTTGACTGAATGTCAGTGGAACGTGCTGGGGATTGAAGCACTGAACGTGTCACCAAACACATAAGAACGTATATGTACTTGCCGGCTCTTGGGCAATCACTTGTGGTCATGTTCACTGGAGATATCTTTTACCTCAATCACCTTATTACAATTATTATAGTTCCTGTTATTAGAGAACGGAATTAATGATAGCGATGAAAAAGTAGAGTGACTGATTATTTTACATTCCTGCTAAACGGGTCTGATTACTGATATTCAAAGTTTGGATTTTACGTAAATAGGCACCACGAACTTGAAGATGAATATACAATTGTTTTACGAGTATGTTACATTTCTGAGGCGAAGTGAGACAATCATTACAGTTCATTAATACAAACCAAAGCTGAATATCTCAAAGAAACGGCTTCGTAAGCAGCAGTGTTTTCTTACCTCAGCACGTCCCTGTGTGCCATTGACCAACAATCAGACACCGAATGTTTAGCCATTGCACACAAATGCCGTTTGCAATCCTGCAGTGCGCAACGGGAGCTGTTTGCAATCCTCGAGGGCGTAACGGCAAAGATGTCATTGCGATCACCTTCATAGTTTAGCTACTGTTTGAGCTAAAGGTTTGTTTTGGGCACACCCGAGGTTCCAGATCGTGAGGTGGGGTCATGATGTGACTATCACCTAGGTTACATTTGCAAGTACCTAACTATGTAAGTACGTATCAAGAACGGATTTTCCTATCCGCTCACCATTGTAGCCCGTTTGTAATGCGCACTTACTCTGGTCATTTTGAACATGTATTAGAGGGAATATGTAAGTAGACAATTAAGCGCCACTGCAACTGCGACTTTATTCATTTATCAGACTTGTAGCATGGGCATACATTTATCTCCCGAAAAAAAAACTCGGAAAAAAACGAAAAAAGCCGGAAAAATGACCTAGGAGATCTCAATAGCCGTTTAAGTTTTCACGACGGCCATCTGGCACACATCTGGTACAGATTAGGTGCAGATTTGGTCAAATCAGGTTCAGTGTGTCTCTCTAGAAGCTATCAGCAGTAATTGCTTATATGCCTGCTTTGTCATATTATCAGAGCATCATCGATTAAAACACTGAAATAAATTCATAAAATGAAGTTATTTGCTGTAAAAGAAATTAGGTGCAGATTTGGTCAAATCGGGTGCATTCGCCGGATAGCCCGTCGTGAAAACGGCTATTGTGACTATAGACCTGCCGTGCGGTGCGAGCGGCGCCCAAATATGTCCCCGTTTTTGCGATATATTCCCTGTCCCTCTCTCTCTCTCTCTCTCTCTCTCTCTCTCTCTCTCTCTCTCTCTCTCTCTCTCTCTCTCTCTCTCTCTCCTCTCTCTCTCTCTTTCTCCCTCTCCCTCCCTCCCCTCCACCCCGCTCTCTCTCTCTCTCTCTCTCTCTTTCTCTCTCTCTCTCTCTTCCACACCTCACTCCTCTCTCCCCCTCTCTCTCCAGCGCTAAACCGTCCTGCTCGCTCCCTCTCAGGCACCAGCGCGGCACGGTATACCGTTACCCACGAGCGACGCGCCTCCATAGCGAGACGACACGACGGTGACCGCGGAGGTGCTGGCACGCTCGCCGGTCAGTCTACCGGCGCCTTTGGCGTGGGGAGGGTTGTCGACCGGGCGTAGTGCGGCGTGGTGACGAGTGTGGCGCAGGATGGCGCTCACACGCTGGCCCCGTGGATTCCACGGACTGGTGCCGGTGACTCTGTTGGTGGTGGTGGTGATGGTGCTGATTACGAGGTGAGTGGTGCTGGTGTTTTTACAGCGTGACGTGACGTCATTGGGGTTGTTGGATCATCCAACAACCCCAATGACGTCACTGGATGTACAAAGAGTCAGCGGTAGGACGATCGCGATGAAGTGAATTTTATCTTGTTGGCTAGCTTTTGAAGTGCCGTTAAAATGAAACAACGATGAGTCTGAACTCTGAAGTCGACCTACAGGTAGCTTCGGATTCTGACGCCCAATTAGTCTTCGTTTTGTTTGTTTTGACTAAGTTTTGACTAAGCCACAACGCGCATTTACCGTGTTTGGTAAAAAAAAAAAATGTACGGTCTGACCAAGGTCATGCTGAATCAGATTCTTGCAAAGAAAGATGTCATACCTACGAGCATGACTGTACCGTACCGTACATATAGACTTGACCGTCCTGACTAAATATTTTTTCCGCTTCCCCTTCGAGCTGCCAGCAAACATAGAGACAATTAGCTATGCTATGCGTAACCAATCTCAGCGCAAACCTCACAACCAAGTCCCTCCAGGAAAACACTGTAGCTGTACAAAAAGGGGCTATTGGTATATTCAGCCCAAATGAACACGACACAAACACACTAGCAAGTATACAAGTCTCAACCGAGACTGCCCTGCCAACGGGCCGCCACCCCTCCCCCCGCGCGGCGCAATGGTGTCCCCACCCAAACTAGAAACCCTGTCGTGTGTGTCCTCCCCCGGAAAAAGTCCTAACTAGAAAAAACCGGGGGACCTAGCTGGGGAAAAACCACATTTTGTGGAAAAAACCCATCTTTATTTAAGAGTGTGGTGCGTGTAAAAAAAAGCCCCAAAAATGGTGGTGGGTGGGTGGGAAACGCAAAAACATTTCAGAGCGAGAACACTGCTGACTTGCGTCAGACTTAGAACAGAGTGACCGCGCAAATGCACTCAAACCCCGCGCCGTCACCGTCACGTGACACAAGTCGCTCCACCAATCAGATGAGGCCGCCGCCTTAGCGGCCTTGCCGCCCGGGGGCGCAGGCGGCCGCCCGCCTGCCGCCGAACGCTGCTCGCAGAGGCCGGCCCGGCTCCGGGGCCGCCCCAAAGAAGACGCTCGTTGTGTCGCGGAAAAACCGGTTATATCTTGTCATATATAACCGGGCGTATTTCAACATAGCTTTAAACGCAACGTAGCGTAGCTTATATGCCGAAACTCATTCGCTAACAACATTTACTGCCCGTCGGCAAAGAAGTACCTACAGATGTGTATTCACGAATAATCCACAGTACACTGGGGCTTTTCATACTCCTTCCAGTTTTTCATACCTACCATTCCAGAGGCCAGTTTTACCTACAGAAAAATAGCCGCCTGCCGGAATTTTTTGCCTAAAGACCGCTTCACATACGGAGCGTAAACGTAATGACGTGTTTACATGAGGAATGTTTATGCTCATGCACCAAAGTGATGAAAGTCCAAGAATGCAGTTTCATTTCAACCTCTAATGTATGTGAAGCGGTCTCTAGGAAAAAAAATCCGGCAGGCGGCTATTTTTCTGTTGGTAAAACTGTCCTCTGGGCTCTAATCGATAAATTTACAATCGAACCCATTGACGATCAGTAGCGGCGGAACACCTTCAATTAGGGGGGGGGGGGGTCGACTTTTGGTCCCATTCTTCCATGCAACGCCCATAGGGCTAATGTTAAAATGCCAACATCAAGGGGGCACGGTGCCCTGGTGCCCCCCCCCCCCGTATGTTGACGATGTGTTCGCCTACCCCACGCATGTGTCTAGATCCGCGCTTGGCGAATGATGACTAGACGTTTTTCGCGTGAAATACCACCTCCATTCACCGAACGGCCAACTGTCGGCTGCTGACAGTTGAGACCGTAGCGGGACCCGCGTCATTCAACGGGACTGAACCTCCGTCATAAAAACGTAACATCTATCCAGCGAAGATGACTGGTAAGGAATGACAAATACTTGCTGTCCCTTTTTATATATGTAGAAATGCGTAATTTTTATGCTCATGCACCAAAGGGATGAAAGTCCAAGAATGCAGTTTCATTTCAACTTCTCATGCTGAATTCTGCAACGCATGACCCATGTTTTTTTTATAAATTTAGTCCGAACCTTTTGATGGGAAGGATTCACAAGGACAGAGCCACCGCTAAGCGAAGCTTGTTGCGATGACCCTGCCCTCTACCCTCCGATCGCGCAATTCCGATTCTATGGCAGAATTTAGAGTCCAAAGTTTAACGTGCGCACAAAGCCGCGCACGGCCGGTCCCCTCAGGCCCTCACTGACTTCACCTGGCTGCGGCCTGCCACCAACCACAACCATACCCGTCAGGAGGCCCATAAATGTCGAGCGCCCGTCGCGCTTCGAACCCGGACTGTCATAACCGGGAACGCGTGCTCTCACCACGCGGAGTCCAACGCTCTAACCAACTGAGCTACGGGACCGACAATGTTGACGCTGACCTCATGCTTTTCACTGCTGAAAGACGGAAGAGCCGTCCAAAAATTGCAACGTGAGTTGGTGCACCTAAAGCGCGTTTTGTTGCATCGGCCCACCTCCTCAGGTGTGTGCAAAAGTCAACGACCTCAACAGCAGGCACCCATGCTTCTATCCTCAGGATGCAGAAATCCTTCTCCTCCACGCCGCAACCTCCCTCCGGGCTGGACAGGCAACTTTATCTCATGCGGGCTGCTCCCTTGGAGCGGCACCGCTGCTCCCGAGGGAGCGCACCCCGTAGCCGGGTGCAGTGAGTACCTTGGGGCTGGCCGGCCTGTCCTTCGGGATGGGCTCAGCCCCGGTGACTCACTAGGGTGCCTGCCCAGACCAATGTCTCCCCCTAATTCCTATCATCCTTCCGGCTCTGAAATGGTCTAATTGGACCGAAAGGGCCTAACCCAACAAAACAAACAAACAAACAGCAGGCATCGACATTCAGCATGTTCGTGAGACATGAGGCAACAACTTGTAATGACGAGACTGCGATGATGACAACTGGCACATGTATTACGGACCGTATACAGCAACCAAAACATATGCGCATTAAACGAACCCAGAAAGGAGATAAGGTACTGACTACTGAATGCTGTAGGATTGGCTTTCTCCCGGAACAGAATTTCCAATTTTTAGAAACGCCTGCCACACTCATTCACTGATTCGCAATCTACATATCACTTTGTGAATTAAAGATGTTGGTTTTGTCTTTCCGATTAGCAGGTGTGGCCAAATTGGTGATGTTGCGGGGAAAGTCACCCCCAATGAAAAGTATAATGACATCCTCAGAAATTTTAAAATTACATCATCACGACGTTTTTGTCGTGAAAGCATACCTAGTGTAGGAATAAAGACTAAAAATGGTCCAATGTTCGATTCACACCGTCATACTCGTACTGTCGCGCTTACAATGCCTTTTTTTACATCTTTAATGACAATATTTGGATTTTTTTTTTTACTTTCCACCAGAACTTGACGTCAGGTATAGTTTTTTTTCCACATTATCTGTAAAAACTGCACCTAAAATGAGGCTGAAGACGAGTTTTTTGAAAATAGGGACATCCTCGTACGACTTTTTTATACATCCTCCCCCTAACGCTAATCCAATTTGGTCACACTGCGGCGATTAGTGATAAATGTGAAAGCATTCAAGGCGATACCTATAATCCCCAACCGGCAACCGCACGTGGCAATGTGGTACCTAATAACTAACCACAAAATAGGCCAGACTATTCAGTTGTTAACACAACCACGAGATGTGCTAAACAGGATGAAAACTACAGCTCCTGTCCCCCATAATGAAACATGCACATTCCACATTTCAACATTAAAGTAAATAAAATGGGAGATCAATCTATGATGCGACGCGAGGCGCCTCGACACACCAAAAGTCCTCCGATTGTCTAGTACAAAAATAAAAACAGTATCTGCATATATTTCGCTCCCGTCCACATGATACAAGGAGCCGATGGGACTCGAGAAAGGGATTGCGCCTTGCGGGAATTTGTGTGGGAGGTATGTGCATTTTATCTTGCCTCTTTGAAGTACTGTTAGGCACTGGGCAGTCAATAATTAAATTTGTTAAGCGACGCAATCTCTCTGTCTCTGCCTCTTTCTTTTTTTCTCTCTCTCCCTCTCTCTCTCTCTCTCCCTCTCCCTCTCTCTCTTCATCCCCTCCCTTCACCTTTCCCTGATCTTCAATGGAAGTAGATACCCTCAATTTACCACGAGTCACTTTCGTTACATCCCACATCTCACACTTCGTTCTCTTTTCAGTTTTTTAATCCTCTCCAGCGACAACCGCTGGGGTTTTGAGGACACACCTGCCACCGCCACACGAATGCGTGACTGCTACCGAGGCCTGCAGAAAGAATACTACAAACAAGTACCACGTGACACCAGCCCGGAAGCGGAAAACTTTCGGCGGAAGGCGTGGCGACTAACCGCGGCCGTGGTGCGAGCTCTCGATAAATTGCACGTGCTGCACTGGCTCGGAAGTGGTTCACTGCTAGGTGAGAGTTATATGAAAGGCCTAATGTTTCTTAGCGCTTCTCTCCTCACAAAGCGCAATTTAGCTCGGCAAACTGCGCCTTTTGATGTTAGGCACTGATCGTATATTTTTAGGTCTGTCTGCCCGTCTGCATATTTGTCTGTCTCTGTGTCTGTCTGTCTGTTGTCTGCTTGTATTTCTGTATGTCCGTCTGTCTATCCGTCTGTCTGTCTAGTCTCTCCATCCTTCCAAGTTCCAAGTTCCTTCTTCCCTTTCATCCGTCCGTCCGTCCGTCGTCCGTACGTCCGTCCGTCCGTCCGTACGTACGTCCGTCCGTACGTCCGTACGCCTGTCCGTCTGTCTACCTGTTTTTTGTCTCCCTGTTTCATCATTTCTCCGAGAATACAACTTTTCCTGACAATAGTTTGATACCCGTCTCTCCATCGACAGGTTTTGCCCGTCAATGCGACATCGTGCCGGTGATGGGCGATGTCGACATTGAAATCGCCGTCGAGAGTCTCTGGAAACAGAACATCACAGTGGACCACCTCCTGAAAACGATCAGGGCTGAAGGTCCACGGCTGAAACTTTTGTTTGGAAGGCCAGAGGACAGCCTTGAAATGACGCTCGTGGATGATTCAGGAACAAAGTTGGATTTGTTTTTCTCGTACCCGGACGCCAATGGCACGAGGTTTACTAATGGAATGGACTCAGGAACATTAGAAAGATACAAGTAAGTACCGATCATCCAACAATCATCCACAAGCAGTACCGGTAAATACTAAATACAAAAGGATACACGCTAATAAATACATATGTCTATAAAATTAGGTGAAAATGAAAATAGTTATCTCGTCCAATACATAGAGAACGTACACTCCGCGTCTTATTTCATTGATATGGCACCCGCTCTACATAATAAAAATATGAACAAACTTTCCATTGAAATAAGTTCAGGGTCGAAAAGGTGCATTCAGTGGGATTAATCTATGAAAGTCGCAATAACCATTATGAACATTAGGCAATTGTGAATGAGGTCACAAAAATTGTGCTGAATGTCTGATTCTGCTTTTGCCATCCTTTCTGTGTGAATGAATCTCTCTCCCTCTCTCTCTCTCTCTCTCTCTCTCTCTCTCTCTCTCTCTCTCTCTCTCTCTCTCTCTCTCTCTCTCTCTCTCTCTCTCTCTCTCTCTCTCTCTCTCTCTCTCTCTCTCCGTTCCACCTCAGGTGGCCGTACCCGGACTTTGAGCTCTGCTGGTCGCTCCTGGACGGTCTGCGTATCGGCATTCCCTGCGAGCCCAACCACTACCTCCGGATCGCCTACGGACCGGACTGGGCCTCTCCTCCTCAGAAGAAGTGGGACTACCGCACCGGACGCTTCAACGTCGTCAGGAACGGGTACTGGCCCGAGGAGATGAGGAACGAGGTGTTCCAGACCTTCGAGGTCTGAGGTCGAGTGGGGTTTGGAGATGTGGTAGGTACTGATCCAGGTGATGGTGGATGGTGTAAGGGTTAATATTGGGGCTCCAAGGAGGACACGACACGAGGACTGGTGGTTAAGTTCGAGCTCTAATTCTACGTGTATTCTGAGGAAAGACTTGAGAGCTCCAGCAGTCAGCTGTGGTGCTCAAAGTCTCAGAAAGATGATGTTATGCCTCGATGGCGATTGATTGATGACCCAGGATTAGTGGCCGGTGGTCCAAGGCCAGTGCTTAGTGACCAAAGGGCCAATGGTCGATGACTAAATGGTCAGTAGTCAGTGACCAGGACCAGCGGTCGATGACCAAAGGACCAGCGGTTCAGTGACCAAAGGACCAGCGGTCGATGACCGTTGGTCTAATGTGGTGACTGGTATCCAGAGGTGAAAGTAAGGCTGTTTATAGGTCCAGTGTTATATGCGATGGATGGTGTTATGTGTTATGTGTCGTGTTTTGTGTGACGCAAGATGAACCTCATGTATTCGAAGAGTGGGTATGGACCGGAAAGTCTTTTTCTTCGAGGGGTTCCTTGCAGTTGCATCCTAGATGATGTCCATGTCGGGTAAAAAAAAACTTGGTGACGTCTTTAAGCGGCATATATAAGCATGCTAATTTTCAGTCAGGATACGTTGATGTATTTTTAAGGCGTTCTTAGAACTGTGGGATGAAAACCATTGTATAGTATGCTGCATTATGCAATACCTTTGCTTTTCGCGTCTGTGGTGTACATAGAATGCCTTTATGTCTTCATTATGGCGTAGAAATGTGTTTCCGAATCAGCGTTTCGCGTCTAGGTTCTTACACGAGGTCGGAACTCGGAAGCACACCTCCTAAAACAACACTTTTTTGGTCTTGCATGTAACTTGTTTTAACCGAAGGTTTGTTGTCAATAGTTAAAACACTATTCTTTAGAATTGTGTTTTTCTATTGAAAAACAAATCTGAGTTCCCTGACAATTTGGCAAAAGTAAACCGTGCTGTACATGTCTTGTTAGAACATTTAAGTTGGAAGCCGTTCCAATAGTGTTGCTCCATCTGCCACATGAAAATCTGCAAAAGCTTTACGTTACATCACTGGACGATCCAGGGGGTCATTTGGGGCAAATGCTCGTCCACGGAGCGCTCGAAATCGACAAAAATTTACGCCTTGTTAATAATAAAACTAACATAAAGCCAGCTTTTATATGGAAAAGTTTGTTTGAAACTGCACAGAAGTGCGTATAGAAATCGAGACATGAGTTTGTGGAATTTGGAAATACTTTTGGGGGTATACCCCCTTCCCGCCCCGGCGTTCAAACCTGCCTTTCTCGACCCGCCAGTGTGCTACATGCTATACATTATTATACAATACACTGATAAAGATTGCGCTACCAGCTGCGAGCGTCCGCGCATGGCTGTACTCTAAGCTCTTGAGTTTGCTAATTGTTTGTTTGTTTGTTTGTTTGTTTGTTTGTTTGTTTGTTTGTTTGTTTGTTTGTTTGTTTGTTTGTTTGTTTGTTTGTTTGTCAAGCTCTGGAGTTTGTCAATTTTAAAGGTTAAAACAGGGTTTTCAGTCTCCCTACGTTGCTATTAGGAACGCCACGGTGTAGGCTGTATGTAGCTTTTATATGAGACAGACAGGTACCTTTAATCCAACGATGCTTCATTCGTGGTATGTTCTGCCACTTCTCAGTGCCACTGCTCAGTGCTCTCTGTAACCGATGTTGAGTTAGGTATGTTTGTAAATACATGTGACAAGTATGCCTATAGCCTAGTGAATTTGGTTATCCATTGGGGTCTGTGTTTCACTTCGTGTGGTTGGGCTTTCCTCCAGGGCTGAAAAAAGTGTTTCGGTGGTTGTCGTCCGAAGGAACACGGGCTTATTTGGTTGTCGACTAAAGATGTCTAAGCCGCGGCCCGCTGAGGGTCCTTGATTTCCACGCCCTGCTGGGGGGAGGAGGTCCAACACCCCGCTCTTTTAACTCTGATCCTGGGACAAGAAGTGACAAGCAGTAAACGGCATTCGAAAGAACGTCCAAAATAAGGACGAAAATATGTCATTCATTTTTTAGGTCAAGTCAAAGGTCAGGTCACCAGAGTCCAGATGCCATTAAATGAAAAATATTGCCTATTTCAACTTTTTTTCGAAACACCGGCACACAACTCGGGAATCAATTAGGTATAGAGCTACGGCGCCGCGGAAAAGATTTTATAGCTCTTTTGACCCTTTCCGTGACCCTTTCACGGTGCCCCTGGTCGACTTCCACTCACCTTTGAACAAAACGTGCTCAAGTTAGCACATGCACTTTGGTCGTGCAGACGCCACGGACCCTGCGTGCGAATACATTCTTATTCCTCTCCTTGAAAGCGCAGGGCTCTCAGCTGTGAGGCTCAAATGTCCGACGATCCTTATTCCTCGACCTCGGAAGTCCCGAGACACCGTATCCTCGTGGGCATGACATGGCGTGCCCTCCCCGCATCAAAATATTATCGGCACTGACGCGGTCCCACTGTGGCCCTACCCTCAGGCGCCGCCGGGGGTGCGTATGACGTCACAAAAGGAGCCCCGGCGGATTGGAGGGGACGCTAACTGACCGCCCGCCGGGGTGCGGCGCTGAAGGGTGCGGGCAGGGGCCGGCCGAGTCCTGGAAGGTACTAGATTTGCCAGACACGTGTTGCCAGCGGACAACCACGGCGACCACTTGGTATGTCATTGGTCGCCTTTATAAGGGTCGCCGGTCGGCCGTCCGAACGATGGTCGAACGACGCAGTATATACTAAATAGCTACGGGGATTTGGAATATGTCTGTAGCTACCAGGAAATTTTCCACTGAGATGCCGCCGCGTAGGGTGATAACGGACTCGAGAACTGCGAGTCGATTTGATGGGGGAGGGGCAGAGAATGGTTTGCGTGGACAGAGGCGATTGGGTTGGGTGGGCAGAGACGAATGGATTGCGCGCTTCAAACCGCACTAGGCGGGAGGTCTGAATCAGTTCAGGCGCTGCGCGTGGTCGCCATAAGATCGTCTTCTCGGTTGTCGTCGACAACGACAAAACGATACAATTTTTCACCCCTGCTTTCCTCTCAACGTGTCTCGAAACTCAAATATCGGCCGCCAATTGCCCGATAGTGATAGGCATTAGTCTGCACTACCTGCCTGCTGGCTGCTACAACACATTTCGGGGTCTACCGTCTAAATGCTTAACTATCACTGAGAGGGAGGGGCGTTGTATTTAAAACTTCGGTCTACACTTCCGACCGATATGTGATGCTACGATCGATCGGACCACGGCCCTGACGCAGGTTGAACAAAATACCTACTGCTGAACGCTGGTGAGCTGAAGATATCTTGACATCACTAGTCAGTACTTAGGCAACAAACAGGGAAGCGTAGTCGAAAATAGGCAAATAACCGCATGAGCTGTATATCATATAGGCCATAGGGCATAGCATAGGGCCTACTTCAAGCCTCAAGGCCTTATTCCAACTTCCAAGCCTCCTGAAGCCTCCATGCTTTTTCATTATTTCCCAGCCTGGCAGCACCATAAGCACCCGATTCATTTTAGCAAGGCCATATAAGTTCATTTTAGGCCGATAACGACGGTCAGGCTTCTTCCTTGCTCTAAATCCCTAAAGTGGCCAATCAGAATTGTGCCCTACTTCAGTGGGAAATAAAAAGAAACGAAAAGGCTGGACTTCTTAGTCCCACACAATAAATGACAGCTGTTTAAGAAACTCCCTGTGAATATTTACAGCAGCCTTGACATAATTTGTTATCGCGACGAATGCGGCGAAAAACGGCGCGGATTTTTGTGGTATTTCAATTTTGTAAATTTATTTGAAAGGTAACTAGTGAGAGCCACATTGAGTTGTTTTATATTTCATTTGTATGAAAAAACGGCATGTGGCCTTACACCTGATACTACCACTGAACTTTTTAGTGGATACTACACTTGAATCCAGGGTATATAGAACAACCTTGAATCGATCGAGCCAATATACGGTTATAGCCTTGGGTTATACCCAAGGCTATATAAGTTATACCCGTAACCCATTGTAGTTCCAAGTGTTTTTTTTGTAACTTGGTAGTTGGTACCTAATGAGAACTTTGAATGCAAAGTTATTCCATTAAGGCATTAAATATATCACATCACAAGTTTCACTGCAATGAAAATGACGATTGCCAGCAGAATCCACAAATTATACCACTTAAAACTAGTGTGACAATCTCTGAATCTGTATCCGGAAAAATGCTTATTCCCTCAAATATTCACTCATTACCTACCTCACCTGTTAAGTTTCCACAACCTCAGCTTGTAAAGAAAGGAGTGGAAACCTATTGTGTGCAGAGACGCGCCAATTCCTTGGGTGGGCTGTGGGCAGATGGCAGGACCTCAGGCAATGAATAGGAATGGTGCATCTGCATTTGGTAAAACACTGAAAATTTTTTGCATGACTTTTAAGTGCCAGAATCCTAGAAAGATGATCAGTGATGTAAATGAGAAAGAGAGGGGTACCGACATATTTTGATTTTACTTAGACTTTTGAAAATCTATGTTATTTCAAACCAATGCTAGGGCATGCTATGTTAGGTTGGGTTAGACCAAGTGTGGTAAGGTGTTCCATGATGTTATATTTATTTCATTCATTCTTGCTCAAAACAGACATGCTGATTTCAGTAGGTGGAACTATGGTCATGAGTACCCAAATATAGGAACGTTCCCATTTTTGGGAACGGAGTTCCCAAATATGGGAACGGGCGTTCCCATTTATGAGAACGGAAGGTAATTTTTCGGCCGTTCGCCCACTAAAACTCATTAGTGCACCACGTCTAAAAAAAGTGCACGCTAATTTAAGTATCTACTAAGTCTTTATAAAATTATCTTTAATTTGACCGTCGAACAAGGAAATTGACCGTAGAATGATATTTTTAATGATTTTTTGAAATGACGGAATGGTGAAAACATGGGTTATTCTACATTTAACATGCAATTTTAAGGAAAATGAAGCGTTTTTTACATTTTGAGGTCAAGTATATTAATTTTCGCCTGGTTATGAAGTTTCATATTAGCGACACCAGATGCTGACATATGCAAGCGAACACGCGGACAGTCCCGAGGTAATATTGTTGACTTTTGGTGTCAGGGCGCACGACCTCGTGGAACGTCAGTGATTTTACCGAACTACTGTTGTAAACTCAGTTTTAGTGGTTTAGAATTATTCAGCTGTATTTCATCAGCCCGGAAAGACATATTTTATTTGGATGCTAGCTGTTTAGCGTTGTTTTATAAGGAGCGTCATGAGCGTGGTTTTTGTCTTCCGTGTTTCTAAGCATGATCGTTTTGGGGAAATTTCTCTTATATAGGTCGCTCTGTGTGGCTTGTTTATAATTTTTATGCTGATTTCGATCATTCCTCGTGCCCATCCTACCAGGCCTTTTGCCACTTACACTCATTAAGAAAGGAAAAAACTAGATTTTCATTGGGACTAGGTGTTTTGAGTGTGTAACATATTTAGCGTTCCCATTTTTGGATACTTCCTTGTGCTCGTCAACTATCAGTGTTAAACAGACAGGTGCTTGACATGTCTCCACCCTCGGCGCGGACGGTGGATATAGGTATGGAAGACCTTGTTGAACATCGCCGAGCGTTGTGAATTACGTAATCCTGCAGAGGGGGGCGTGCCCGCTGCGAGATCGACGGGAATAAAAGCGCAGAAGACCGGGCGAAACATGCGACGGTCTTGCCGGAAAGGTCATCTGATGATTGTTGCGTTAACATGGATTTGCGGCGTTGGACGTGATGCTTGTTAATGAAAAGAGCCCCTGAAAGGCGTCGGTGAAATCGTTCCCAATATTGGGTACGCCGTTCCCATAATAAGGAACGCTTGCAGCGCCAGTGTATGAGAGCGTTCCCAAATTTGGGCTCGCGGCCCGGATGATAGACTGCTTTAGAAATAGGGGAACGATTTGAAACTACGATGGGCCTTACAATATCAAACTCTTTCCCAACAATATTGAGACAAATATCAGGCGGTTCACGGTTGTTTTATATTTTTTTGGACGTCATTTAACGGTTCTTTTTCTTGTTTTAAATAATGCCTACATGGCGTTCCCATATTTGGGTTTATCGTTCCCAAACATGGGAACGCAAATGCGTTCCCGAAAATGGGTACGCTTGACCATAGTTCCGCCTACTGATTTGTCCAAAGATTTCAATTTGTCCTGGAAATGTATTTTCACCTGTAACATGATGGTATATGTGCAGCTGAAGTCTGAGTGGTATTATGTTGGTAGGTTGTAAGTTGTAACTAGGTTGGTAGCTTCAGCTAGTTGGTTGATAGGTTGTGGGTACATAGGTTGTAGGTTGTTAGGTTGAAGGTTGATTGATATGTTAGGAGGTAAGATTAGGTCAGGTTAGATTGTTTTCATCTACTCGGATGTCATCTTCACAATTCACATTTACCAACATGACAAACTCACCTGTCCAAACTCAGTTGGGCAAACTAGACTTTTGGAATCAAAATATGGAGGCATCAATAATTTGATTCTGGTGGGAGGAGCCATGACCAAATATGGGCATTGGGCATGGAATCATTTTTTGATTCATTTGGGTACACTTTTGGCTTCAAATGTATCGTTACGGTTGAAGAAAGGCCCATGCCGGTGAGATTTTTCTCTAAAAAGGTAGAAAAATGTGGCAGGTTTGCAAAAAGTGTTACCTCAAAACTACAAAATTGTCCCTTTGGCCTTGTGCATGGGAAAAAGACAGAGCCACTGTCCATCACGCAAAAGCTGTTTTGAGGAAATCACACTGTATGTTATTTTTGTATCATGAATCACATACTAAACAATCAGTATTTGTGTAAAATGGCAAAATGAAATTTTTAAACCCCTAATTATCATTGTTGTAGTGCTTTTATATTAATTATATGGTTTTTACCTGTTGCTTCAGTTTTTGTATTCTTGACATTTAAAAATTGTGAATTGTTATCAAATGTAGTACAGGTAAAGTACAACAATGCTATAGGTATCTGTTGTGGTGCTGAGGATACCACTTAATGAGAATAATAGCAAGATAAATGCTGTATTCTTGCAAGTCATTGTTGCCTATCTGTTAACATTACCTGTGAATCAAAATAATGATTAGCCAGCTGATGGGGAATCAATATTATGATTATCTGTTTAAAGTGAATCAATTCCTTGATTGCCTTCCACTTCCTATAGAATTCAAATTGTTATGATAGGAGCAATATTATTTTGCTTAGGAGATAGTTCCAGCATTTCTGTTCAAGATCAGGCATGCTCCTTCTTGAAACACTCCCTTATTTTTATGTGATTGGTAAGTTAGAAATGGTCTGCATTTATGCCCAAATATGGTCATAAGGAATCAATCTTTTGATGCCTCCATATTTTGATTCCAAAGGTCTAGTTTGCCCAACTGAACTCATCTGTCTGGTTTCCCTGCTTGTCAGTCATCATTCCAGAAGTTTTATCATGCTGAGATTGAAAGCTACATCAGTCCACACTGTACAAGACAGAAAGACCTGAGATTTTTACCGCTTATTCTAAATCTAAATTTAGGTTGAGGTAAACTGCAATGCAAGATGAATAGGTTAAAGAATTCAAGATCATTAGCTTATCAGTTATCACCTAGTTAGTCTTCTGAGTACATCGTTTTCTTGGAGAGTATTGTACAGTGCTTATTATGTCAGTAAACTCACACCGGAAAATCATTATGTCAGAGTATATAGAACGATATCTATCTAGGCATATTGCTAAATCAGGGGCTGCACCTCTTCAGTCTCCACACTAATACACGCTAGTCCAGTCATCCCTAGAAATCTGTGCAGTGCCCTGTTACACTGCACAGGCAGCGCAGGCTGAAGCCTGAGTTTCCCCGCACCTACAATATCTTGTCTAAGGCTATAGAACTCCAAGGCCATGGCATAGAAACTTGCCAAACTTGTTACACTTTGCAGCTTGCAGCCTATAGGAGTATGCCACCTCATAGCATCCAATATATTTTGATCCACCCATGTTTGGCCCAGGGCTGCAGATTCGATGCTTTTGGTGACTCTGACAACAAATCCGACTCTGGGCAGGATTGTCGACTCCGACTGACTCGGACTCTGACTCCGCAGCACTGGTTTGGCCTGTAGTCATATGATGCCGGTCTGCACCACTCTCGCAGATCTAGGAACCCAGCGGACCATGCCTTGATGTGCAGTATCTTTATTGGAATGTCATGCTTACAAGGGACAGAGAAAGTGATAAGCTGGGTAGTTTTGGTGTTTAACAAGCTATACAGTCCTGACGCATGCCTGGCCCCTCATCCTGGCCCACTGGTCCCTCATCCCATCCCATCAGGGCAAGCTGAAACTGAGAAACAGGTCCATGCCCCTGAGGGAGAAGATCAGAAGTGGGCTCATTGCTCTGTCCATTACCTGAGCAGTAAATCAATAAGCTGAAGCTGACCTGTTTGAGTCGCTCCCGAGTCACTCCTGCACCTGGCGGTAGGGGTTGGCGGGATTTGGAACAAGTTGACTTGGATGTACCACTTGGAAGAGTTCTCTAGTTTCTGACTTGTGCCTGTATACTTTATCTAGCAAAACTAAAAGATGTATGGTAATGACGATTATCGTTCAATCGCATCTCAGCACCCGCTTTGCCTGTAGGCTGTAAGACTCTGGTGTAACTGTTCTTTGGCATTTGGACATATTATCCCGTCTAATGCTCAGTTATTTACGTGATTTAGTACGATCAGTGCCAGTGGTGTAGTATATTTAGTGCCACTGCCATTCATTTGTTGCAGTTATTGTGGTTCTGAGTTCTGACATACCGGTAATAAATCATTTGCTTATTATAAGCTTGCAACAACCAACAACACCTAACTAAGTATGTGCATTTATCATTTTCATGACTTACTGTTCACCACGTTGTGCCGTTTGGCTGTAATCGCAGCGTGTGAACTTTTTACAGCGTGTGAACTGTGAACTGGTCACAAATTAAAGCAAGTACCTACCATCGATTGCAAGATGGATTCGCCCGACTCATCATTCTCAGTTATAATCCAACACAGTGAGTAAACGTGTTGGTGGAAGCAACCGCAACCACCCTTGTAATACAATGTTTTGTTTTACTGCAAAATGGCACACGATACGATATTTGAAATCGATGCATCCGTACACTTAAGTACTCTTGGACAGTTAGCAGTGAATCTACTTTTGCCACAGTAAATGCAAGAGTGCCCTCAAGAGGACTTGCAACAATCGTCTTTTGCCGACTGAAGCATCAACGATTCGCTCAATATGTTTGCGAAATGAATCATGCATTTTCACGCTTTTTTGTCCAACGGATACCTCAGTGCCAATCTTTTTAAGATGTTACGATGTATTATTTTGTTTTCTCTCTTCCAGTGGGTAAGAAGGAATCGGTTGCCCTACCAGCTGATATCACTCTGGGCGACTTCCAGAGGACCGTCGAAGACATGACGCACGTGCCAGTGGCGGCGCAAAAAGTCGTGCACAAGTACGGAACCCGGGGTGGGGTGTCATATGGGTGGGGTGAGCCTCCATTGACATACCCAGGCGGGACACATTTCGGGCATACTGAACATGTGTGTTGTGTTACAGGTATGTATCATGTGTGTGATGGGGTTGGGTTGTATCGGGGCTCGCTCGGCGCTTTTTGAGTAAGACGTCGGACACACCACGAATTTGTCGTATGATAAAGGGGTTCTCAAACCATTGATTATCCTTACCGTTCATACCGCCATGAGCCTTTTCTTGGGTGACCCGAACGAGTGAGCGTTCATTGAACGATTCCATTGGTGGCGGCGCTAGCAGCTCCCTCTCCTGGCCACTAGAGGGTGCGATTGCTGCGCCGCTTCCCCGCTGCTTCACCCACGTGCGGCATGTTCTGCCAGGAGAATTCTGTATTCTGCTCATCGTAATATTTCATGAGCAGTGGTGGCGTCACGAATTTTCGCCAGTGGGGGCAAGCTTGAGGTGACCGGACCCAACTGTTGTCTGATACCCCGATCTGCAGAATCCAGGAGCACCTTGCCCCTAGATGTTGTCATTCAAAATTATCATAGTTGTGTAGCCTTCTTTGCATCATCACATCCTATAGTACCCACCTATCATGAATATTCCACAGGTCTTTTGTCCGCTTTTCAACATCAGCCAAATTTTGTGGGGGCAAAAACATAGTCTTGCCCCCACGGCCTCCTGTCAGTGGGGGCAGTCTGCCCCCACTGCCCCCACGGTGGCGCCGCCCTTGTTCATGAGGGTTGCTAATTCATGTGCTTTTGTTATGTGTGGAAGTAGTGAAATCGTGTAATTCTTTTGGTTGTGTTGGCGTGGAATACTAACCACCGCCGCTCGATCCTAAGTAACTTCGCTCTGGTTGTTATAGCCCCAGCCACGTGACCTTTGTTTCAGGGGTCGTGACCTGGCCCGTCACGAATCGGACGTTACGCTTCAGGACTGCCGGGTAAAGAACAAAGACATCGTTATGATCCTGGGTGGGTCCTAGTTGGGCGCACTGCGCTACTGGAAAACGGCCTGTGGTGTCAGTGTGGTTATGATGCATGGGGCTGTTGCCATTTGACAGTTAAATTTGTCATGCATGTAAGACTGTCCGTCGATGTTTGTATTCTAGTTTTATTATTATGATAGTTTTTTTAGTGAGCTCTGTCTAATCAATTACGATGTTTTCTAAGCCTCCTTGATTATGAATCCCACATGACTTGATCTGTCATACGGAGTAATAGGCATGTGAATAAGTTGACGACTCATACAGTTAGAATAAGGCTGTGTTCGCCAACGAAGAATCTTTGCTGTTCAGCATCAAAATGCCAATCGTAGTAAGGCTAATGCCACGGACAGCTTTTTGAAGCCGTATAGTAAGGAATCCCCGCCACCCTGCTGATGGTGAAGTGAATGCAGTCTTACTTTAAAGTAGAGCTTCTGCGCACTTTGCCTCACCCCCGAATATTTTCGTGCATTACCATCGGGCGCTACCGACTTTTGGTCCCATTCTTTCCATGCAACGCCCATTGGGGTAATGTTCAAAATGGCAAAATCAAAGGGGGCACGGTGCCCCCACGTTCCGCCGCCTATGCGCGGGAGGTCTTCCTGCCTACCTCTGACCCCAAACTGACACATGCCCCTGCCTACCAGGTCATCCCGCGTTCCCTGATCCCAAACTGACACGTGCCCCCGCCCGTCAGGTCTTCCCGTCGATCCGGTGAACGATGAGACCCTGGCCGCCATCGCCGCCCTGGAAACCCAGTCTGAGGCGGTGATCACTCGACTGGACGACATTCAGAAAGATCTGGACGGCGCCCGAAAGGTACGGTAGAAATCGGGGATTCAGGTTCAGATTCAGATCCAGATATATTCGAATAAGGTCCACAATAAACATGACCTTTCACTCATTCACGTCATATGTAGAACATAATTGGATTGGGTATTTTGAGCTTGTAGACTTTGTGTATGTGGGGTGTTGTGGGGTTTAGACGCTGTGCAACCTAGCCGTTGCCAATGTTTATGTTTTGCAAGCTGGATGCTATGAGCCATGAATGTTGTTGCCATTTTATTTGTATTTCGAGTTGCTGACTTTGGATTTTATACCTGTGGAGTTATGAAGATGCTATTTAAAGGGACACTCCCACCTTAACATTAGTTTTGAGTTGAGATAGCCAAATTGGTGGCCATGGCCTGCAAATACCGGTTTGGGCACTCACAACATCGACAAATGCTTTAATTCGAAGATATGGAATTTCAAACTTGCAGTTTTCGGATTCTAAGGGGCTAATGCATTGGAATGCCCCCTTAGAATTTGTGACGTCAGCGGAGATCTAACGATTTTTAAATCTTAGACTAAAACCATCGTTAACACGTGGTGGTATACGCTGCTTTGCGCGCAACGTCTGCCGCACTTTAAGGCTGCCAAATTATTGCTTCCAAATAAAGTCGCTAGTAACAGGGGAGATCCCAAAAAGTAAACAAAAGTAAAAGCCTAATATCTTGAAAACCAGTGAATATTTTTCGGTGAAATTTGGTAGATATTCGTTTTCGCTCTTTCTGAACCAAGGGACATCACTTTCATGCCAATTCATTAACTTTTTTGAAGGTGGGAGGGTCCCTTTAACCGGGTCTTGCCAGGGCAGGAGGTTGTGATTTGGTATGTGGTGAGGTAGACCACGAGCGGTATATTGTTTGTCGTGTGAGTGCTGTTGAGCAGAGGCACCTAACTTTAAACATACCTTATGATTTGAATCAAAACATCATTGGCTTGTACCAACCAAATATTGAATCAAACGCGTTTAGACCACCAGCACCCAGCTCACGATCATGCCCCCCCCCCCACCTCACAGGGTTTCCTGCCAGCCAGGATGGCCGCCGAGGTGCGTCCCAAGCTGGAGAAGCGTCTGCTGACCGTCTCCGAGGAGCTGATGCGCCTGCTGGAGCGGCTGGATTCCATCTCAGTGGGCCAGAGCTCAGAGTCAGCGCGCCGAAAACGAAAGGCCGTGGTGACTGCCATCAACGCCCAAATGGATAGGGCAGATAAACTGAAGGAGAAATTAGCAGAAATTGGCTCATAGGTTGAGATAGGTAGATATTAGGTATTTATCGATATCTATTTCAGCTAGAGATGAATAGATATTTGATATTTATCTATATCAAGTGTTGGAAGGGTAAGATTCAGATGGTGGTTCTTGGCTTCAAGTGCTGGTTCCGGGGTCTCCCGCTAGAGGCGCTGTAGTAGCGGCCCTAGTTCGGCGTTCTGTCGCCAGAGGCACTGCCACGGTTGCGAGCTTCTGATCCTCGCCGCTTGGCGTGCGAGCGCAGGTGATGCTTGTTTTCTGGCGATGCTCTGAGCTTCGATCAGTCTTAATTGCCGTCCAGAAAGCTCCTTTGGCAGCTTGAAAGTGATGTCCTGGGCCTAACACGCGGCCTCGCCAGCTTATTGCCCGACTAGCGCATGACTAGCCCATGACTAGTACCTGACTAGCGCTAGTCAACAGATGGCAAGTACTAATCAACACCTTAGCCCATGACTAGTACCTGACTAGTGACTGGCTGCCCGCTGCAGTCGCCATATTATGCGTCTACGATGCGTCATGCGAGTCCTTTGGTTATCAGAAAATGCTTGAGTGGCTGTTGATTTGGCTGACTTCTCATATGCGACAACCGAGGATTGACCTGCCAGATTAGCGACTACCGACTGCGTTTACCAGCGAAGAATTGACTTTGAGTCCCTTTCGATTCAACGGTTAATCAGATGACATATTTTAAGATAACGGTTGTCGCGAGATGGGGCTCCAGATTGACCAAAGTTGCGAAATTAAGAGTTTTCTGGTAATTAGGATCAACATGCACTGTAAGTTGTAACTTTGATAATGAGCGAACTGTCCATTATACCAAATCGGATGACTTTTTAGGGAGCTGTACTGCCTGGAACAGACGGCGTTCTTTTTCGCCCCATTTCGAGTCGAAATGACGACGATAGTAAGCGCTACTTGTCTTCCTTGGCAGTTGTCATACGATTGCATATGATCTGTTGGGGTTATACTCAGTGCTAAATGGGTAAATTTGCCGTCCAATGCACGGCGCATTGGTGCATTCGAATTAGTGCAGTGCACTAGTTGATCACCGAGGGGGACCAGCTGTGTATCTTCTCCGAGAATCGAGGACCATCTTAGTTCAAATCAAATGTGTTCATCCTCAACATGAGATCATTCTAGCCTTTTGAAAGTACACAGAATGTCCACCGGCATTCTTTACCGGGTGGCACTGCCAGCTTTTATTTGCATTTATTTGTGACATGGAGTAAATGTTTCGGCAATAAGCTATATTTTACCACATAGCGGATATTTTGGGATATGACGACTTTGAATAACTGGATATTACGTTTTTACTGAGGCCAAACCTGGTGTGTCGCTCTATACGCTTAACATGTTGATGTAATGCTATGTGCAAAGTCGCTGAGTTTTTGAACAGCTCCTGCAACGAATAAAACACATCGTTTAACCCTCTGTTCGTGTGTTTTCAAAATGTGGCAATCCGCGCTTTGAAGTCGAAAAGCATCCTCATCTACATACTTGTGGCGACATTGGCTTACAAAAGATATGACAGTAACGGCAAATGGGACACTGAAGGATAATCCAGTTCCATGCTTATCCGTGCTTGTGAAGTGATGGGCCGTTCCTGAAACTTTGATGTCGTTTGAATTCATTTATAGGATAGGTGAACTTGTAGAATGTAGATGTTCCATTTGGTTCCACTCCCAGTTCATTGATTTGGAAATCCTATCGGTGCTTTATACCCACAGCTGGGGCGTTCCACGACAAATCGACAAATAAAATAAATAAATTTGCACCCTCATATTTTATTCTTCGTTGAAAACTGGTGTAAGGGGTTGTGATGGGCGGGGAAGCCAGCTGTGGCAAGGATTTTTTTCTTCGAACAACGGTTTCCGAGATATAGCCTCGGGCAATTCCTGGAGTTCGCGCTGCAGCCCTATGTTTGGCGGCCTATAAGTCAGAAACTGTTGGTTTTTTACGATAAAAACTTTTTATGGTTCAACTCACAATCAACCAACAAACATTTTGGCTATCTCAGATTTTCAATTTTTGAAAATTTTGATCACGTGACCTTTTGTCCTATTTTTCGAAGTGACCTTGATATTTTCCCCACTGAAAGTTGCAATTTGGTCTGATGACGATTAAAGCCTTATCGATTATCATTCATATGCGATAATAAAAAAGTGGTTATCGCCCTGCGTTGACCTCAGGTCAGGTCATTTTTATGACCTGTCCATTATTACGAGCGGGAGCGACAGCGAGATCTCGAGAATAAAGCAAGATAGCGACAAGCGGTAAACGGTAAAGGGTACACACGGATAAGGTCTATAATTTTTACTGAGGTCATTTTCAGGTCAGGTCAAAGATGACGTCATAGGAGCTAAAAGGAAGTCAAAATAGCGGCATACATGTATATGAAGCTTTTCTCGAATAACTTTCAAGGTATCCCAGCTAGGAACAAACTAATAGCACCATCGTGATCCTCTCGTCGATCCGCATCGAAACATATGTATGTTGACCTCGAAAGGTCGAAAGGTCAAAAGTTGACGTTAGATCACGTGACCTAAGGTCAACTTTTGACCTTTCGACCTTTCGAGGTCAACATACATATGTTTCGATGCGGATCGACGAGAGGATCACGATGGTGCTATTAGTTTGTTCCTAGCTTGGATACCTTGAAAGTTATTCGAGAAAAACTTCATATATATGTATAGTGCCGCTATTTTGACTTCCTTTTAGCTCCTGTGACGTCATCTTTGACCTGACCTGAAAATGACCCCAGTAAAAATTATAGACCTTATCCGTGTGTACCCTTTACCGTTTACCGCTTGTCGCTATCTTGCTTTATTCTCGAGATCTCGCTGTCGCTCCCGCTCGTAATAATGGACAAGTCATAAAAATGACCTGACCTGAGGTCAACGCAGGGCGATAACCACTTTTTTATTATCGCATATGAATGACAATTGATAAGGCTTTAATCGTCATCAGACAAAATTGCAACTTTCAGTGGGGAAAATATCAAGGTCACTCTTCGAAAAATAGGACAAAAGGTCACGTGATCAAAATTTTCAAAAATTGAAAATCCGAGATAGCCAAAATGTCTGTTGGTTGATTGTGAGTTGAACCATATGAAGTTTTATCGTAAAAAAACAATAGTTTCTGAGTTATAGGCCGCCAAACATAGGGCTGCAGCGCGAACTCCAAGAATTGCCCGAGGCTATATCTCGGAAACCGTTGTTCGAAGAAAAAAATCCTTGCCACAGCTGGCTTCCCCGCCCATCACAACCCATTAGACCAATTTTAACCCTATTCCTGGCGGGGGGGGGGGGCCTCAGGAGCCCCCCCCTGAGGTTTTTTGGTTATATCTCCCAAACGCGTTGAGCTAGGAAGCTCAAATTTTCTGACTTTTCCTAAAAGGCTTCTACGCAACATGTCTGAAAATTTTGAGTTGATCTGACCTCAGGTCAGGTCACCAGAGGCGGTTTGGTGACGCTACCTCAGAAAAGTTTGCAATCACGCCAGAGCTAGAGTTTTTGACCGATCAATTTCTTCTCTTCAGGGTTTAGTTAGGGTACCAGTATGTGCAATTTGTTTATCTCGGAATTTTGATATCGGTGACCTAAGGTCAGGTCAATTTCGCGACCTCCCCATTATAAGTCAATGGGGGAAAAATCAACTCCCTGTTTTTACCACTAAAACGGGTCGGAATGGCCCCATATACCATACATGACTTCATATACGATCACCCTTCACTACCTTGAGGTCTGTTTTGCTGTTGGGCAGCTGTGAGGTCATGTGACGTCATCAAAGGTCACCAAAGGTTTTTGGCCAATAACTCCGTACAGGAACAAGATACAGACGCGTGGATGGTCTCATTGTGTTCAGCTCGTCAAGACGCATCGAATGATATACATGATGACCTCGAGGTCACGTGACCTGAGGTCAACCTTTGACCTTGACCTTTCGAGGTCAACATATATATCATTCGATGCGGATTGACGAGAGGATCACGATGATGCCCTTAGTTTGTTCCTATCTTGACTAATTCGAAAGTTATTCGAGAAAAAACTCTCTCCATATCTAGTGCCGCCATTTTGACTTTTTCGACCCCTGTGACGTCATCTTTGACCTGACCTGAAAATGACCTTAGTAAAAATTGTAGATCTTGGCCGTGCGTATCCGATGCCGTTTACCGCTTGTCGCTATCTTGCTTCGTTCTCGAGATCTCAGGGGGGGGGCCGAATCGGCCCCCCCCCGCCAGTTTCTTGTCCCGGCGGAGCCCGCCAGGAATAGGGTTAAGCAAAAAATAAAATATGAGGGTGCAGGGCACTTGTCGATTTGTCGTAGAACGCCCCAGCTACGAAAAGAAAAACATGAACTTTCAAACCCGGAGAGAACGTTTTTAATCTTTAGCTTTCAGTGTTATCTCAAGACATTAGTTATGTAAAAGTTGAACTTTGTTTCCGGTGACCACGTCTCGACCTCCGTTATCGACCCCGGCCTCTCGGTGTCGGCTCGTCCACGCCCTGTCCGGCGCTCGCGGCCGTCCCGAGAGAAACCTCATCGCCCGGGGACGCGGCGCCGGTGCGCCAAATCCATTAATGGCGCGACGGTTTCACTTCTGGCGCAGACAAACAGGCGCCGCGGCTGGCTCGCGCCGTTTTCCCGCGGTGGGGAGTGGACGGGGCACCGACCGCGGCTCGCGCCAGACTGGACCGTGGGAAGTCTGGAGCGGATCGGCTTTGGAGACATTTGTCGTATGTGGCGAAGATGATTGGTTATTTAATGATGCTCTTTTACGGATGTTTTTGATTGGTAAAGCACGTCTTGCCGCATACACAAAAATAATGGCTGCAAGTCTTTTAGGGCAGGTTTCCAGGCCGGCTTTAGTGATATCACTTTTACAGAAAGAAAGAAAGAAAGAAAGAAAAAACGTTCGCTGTCCAGACGCACAGCTGAACTTTACATACCGTCACTGGTGCTCCAGGATTGAAAATTGGGTCTTGTTTCTTCACATATAACCCGTGACCTCTGAGGTCAGGCCAAATGCACTGAGATATTGTCCATTAAAAAAAATGCCGACAAATGAAATTCGTTGAACGATTCTGGCCCAATCGTGTTTGCGACGTCCAGTGATATGATATACTTTTCTTCTTTGTGGATGAACGATTCAGTTCTAAGATGGTCAGGCGAAAGTTGGTCCAGGGAGGTCGTGCTGCATATAATTCGTTTCTGCAGCTTTTTCTGAATTCGTTGGAGCCTTTTCCAAATCATTGTCTCTACTGTGGATGTACTGGCGAAAAACGCTAATGACTTGTGTGAAATTACGCTGCCAAGTGCTTGAGGTATATTGGAGCATATTTATCATTGCTGGCGTTATTAAACACATAGCAGGTTTCTCATTGAGCTATAACGCTGAGGTCATGTGACTGACCTGACCTCAGCTTCGTGAAAAATCAAAGGCACATTTATGTAAGAATCCGTAAGCTTCTTCTTGGAAGTTTCATCTCTCAGTAAAACCTGTTTTCCTGGCACTAAGTGCTGCAAAATTGATTTTTCAACGTATGAAATTAATTTTGATTGCCTCATCTGTGATCTGTCATTCTTGTGTTCATGTTCGTTCCTTGACATTGGGCTGCAAGACAATAATCCCGCGATATCGAATATTCAATAGACGTTTCATTGTGCAGCGTGCGTGACAATTGTAGTGTGTCGCACGTATGCACTCTTCCGTTCATAGTGGTAACCAAAATGGCAAAGAAATGCGACTGGTTCAGACCTTCCTTGCGTGAGCAAACGGTCCAATGATTTGGATAATAGCCTTATTGTGAATGATACTCGTGTGTCTTGAGAATGGTTTTATCCCCTTTGTAACGATGCGTGACGTTCCGTGACATTTTGTGGCGCTCCGTGGCATTCCGTGACGCTTAGTGGCGACTCCCTCTATGGCGCATGATTGTGGTGCGTCACGGTTGTGAAAACTATCGAACCACGCGTCAGTTCCGTCTCACCTTTGTGGCCGTCACCCTCGAGCCCTCGCTGGCTGAATATGAGACACTCTGGAATTTATTCGATGACTTTATTTTCGTGATGGGGTAGGCACTCGCCTCACGAGGGGGCAGAGCACTCGAGTAGACAGCGAAAACCACTCGCAAGGTACAGCTTCATAAAAACAACAGCGCGGCGGGCCCGCTTCATACGACAGAACCGACAAATCTACGAACATCGGCGTCATCGAAACGCACCGGTCAAATGAGCATTCTGTGAAAGCTTTAGAACAACTCCGTTTGGATCGCACTAGCTATCATTTCGAAGTTTACACGACGTTCGGAAATGAGTCAGCTTTGTCGTACGAAACTTGACTCGAGGTGATCGCAAAGCACACTTTGAGTCATTCGACACTGACACACACATTCACACAACCACATGTTCTCGAAGCACCTGCAGCCATGCGCCTTCTCGCCCTATGTGATAAGCACAAACAACAATAACAGTACGTTGAGCCGATGACGGGCCCCCATAGTGGACCCCATGAGCAATCGCGGTTCGCCGTCTTCGCTACTGGCACAAGGCCTTCGACAACCCTCTCAGGAACAGCGCCCAGTACCGGTTCAAATAAATACGCTCCCGACGCGCGCACTGGCATAGCCTAAGTAACAACGGTTAGTGGTGGCCAATGCAGCCATGGTCTAGCATTACCGCCCAAGCATGACCCACAACTCCACTCTCTCTCTGTCTCGCACGCGCTTCACTTTGTAACGCCCTCAGTTTCTCTGACACATCCTCCCTGGAATCTTCTCACGCCTATCACCTCCACGCGTCGCACTTCACTCTTCCTTCTCTTCCGTGGCCTCTCCGAGGGCCTTGTAGAACTTTGGCCTCAGACGGGCTCCGAAAGGCACCGGTCGTCGCCTCCTGTTGCGCACCTCATCCAGCCGGGAGCGAGGCTTGGGGGTGGTGGTCGTCGTCGTGGAGGCCTCAGCTTGCGGCTCCTCGGCGACAGGCGCTTCGGTGACAGTCTCCTCTTCGACGACCTCCGGCGCCTCGGTGGTGGTGGTTCGGCCGCGCTGGCGGCTGTAGAACGAGCTCAGGAACGGACGGCGCGTTGGCAGGTTGAAGAACGGCCTCCTCGTGGCGCGTGTCGGCTCCGGTGTGGTGGTGACCTCGGTGGTGGTGGTGACGGGGGCTTCCGTGACGGGAACTTCCTCTTCCTCAACCGGTACCTCTTCGACGGGGATCTCCTCGATGGTGACTTCCTCCTCGACAGGGGCCTCCTCGGGTGTCGTCTCGTCGTCTTCGCCAGGGTAGTACACGAAGAACACATCGCTGTCGCCCTCCTCGTCAACAACCTCGACTTCTTCACCAACCGCCAGCGGGTCCTCGACGACCTCGACGATGTCGACGATGTCAACGCCATCCTCGGCCAGCTCGTTGGGTCGCACCACCTCTTCACGGTACTCAGAAGCCTCCGGGTACTGCACGTCGTAGGCCTGGCCCACCAGACTGCCAGGGTTGGGGCCTCCGTAGCCCTGCGGCGCCGTCGGCACGGCCGCCGGATTGTACTGGCCAGTCACGATGTCAGTAGGATCCGGAGCTCCGTAGCCGGTCGAAGCAGACGGAGCCTGGCCACCGCCGTACGCGAAAGAGCTCTGGATGTTGACAAAGACGTCGCCGCCGCCACCGCCGGCACCGTATCCACCGCCATTCTGGGCCTGCTGCTTCTGCAGCGACTCAAGCGTGATGATCGAGTCCGCCTCGGGCGCGGTGTATCCCTGCTGAGCGGCGGGTGCCGAGTAGCCCTGCTCCGCAGCCGGAGCGGCGTACCCCTGCTGACCGCCAGCGACGATGCTGTTGGGCCGCGGCTCTCCGTAGCCAGGAGACGGCTCCTGGTAGGAGACGGCCGGCGCTGGCTGTTCGTAGCTCTGCGACGGCGCTACGGCTCCCTCCGGTGAGCTGTACTGACCCAGAATCGAGGCAGCCTTCGGGGCACCGTAGGCGGCCGGGTCAAGCTTGGGCGCGTTAGAGACGGGAGACGACTGCGGGGCGACCTGAGCCGTCGGATAGTACTGCGCAGAGCTGTAGTCGATCACAGAGGCCTGCTTCGGGGCGCCGTATCCGCCCACCTGGGCGCCACCGCCAGAGCCGTAGCCCTGGGGCTCGGGACCGCCATAGCCCTGCTGGACGGGCTCAGGGGCGCCGTACTCCTGCTGAGCAGGAGCACTGTAATCTTGCTGAGCCGGGGCGCTGTAGTCCTGCTGAGCGGGGGCGCTGTAATCTTGCTGGGCCGGGGCGCTGTAATCTTGCTGGGCAGGGGCGTTGTAGGTCTGCTGAGCGGGGGCGCTGTAGTCCTGCTGGGCGGGAGCGTTATAGCTCTGCTGAGCCGGAGCGCTGTAGTCCTGCTGAGCGGGGGCGCTGTAGTCTTGCTGAGCGGGGGCATTGTAGCTCTGCTGAGCAGGGGCGCTGTAATCTTGCTGGGCTGGGGCACTGTAGCTCGGTTGAGCAGGAGCGCTATAGCTCTGCTGAGCCGGGGCGCTGTAATCTTGCTGGGCAGGGGCGCTGTAGTCCTGCTGAGCGGGGGCGCTGTAGTCCTGCTGGGCAGGGGCGCTGTAGTCCTGCTGAGCGGGAGCTCCGTAGCCTTGCTGCACGGGCTCAGGGGCTCCGTATTCCTCCTTCACTTCGGGAGCCCCATACTCTTCTTGAGGCTGGGCGGGAGCACCGTAGCTTTCCTCGACCTGCGGAGCGCCGTAGCTTTCCTCAACCTGCGGAGCTCCATAGCTTTCCTCAACCTGAGGGGCACCATAGCTTTCCTCGACCTGCGGGGCACCATAGCTCTCCTCAACCTGCGGAGCACCGTAGCTTTCCTCAACCTGCGGAGCACCGTAGCTTTCCTCAACCTGCGGGGCTCCGTAGCTCTCTTCGACCTGCGGAGCACCGTAGCTTTCCTCAACTTGCGGGGCACCATAGCTCTCCTCAACCTGCGGCGCACCGTAGCTTTCCTCAACTTGCGGGGCACCATAGCTCTCCTCAACCTGCGGCGCGCCGTAGCTTTCCTCAACCTGAGGTGCGCCATAGCTCTCCTGCGGCGGAGCGGGGGCACTGTACCCTCCTCCAACCTGAACAGGCGCCGCGTAAGACTGCACCGGTCCGCCAGAGACGGGGTGCTTGGGCGGTCCGTACCCGTTGTTCGTCACCGGCGCATCGTAGCTGGCAGCCGGCTGCGAGACGTGGCCCTTGGAGCCTCCTCCATGACCTCCGGACGAGCCGCCGCTGTATCCCGAACCTCCTCCGTGGCTGGAGGATCCTCCGTGGCCACCCGAAGAGCCTCCGTGGCCCTTGGAGGAGCCTCCGTGACCCTTGGAGGAGCCCTTGCCGCCGATTCCTCCGACAATCGTCACAGCTCCGTGACTGCTGCCGTAGCCGCTGGCGGGCTTGGGAGGTCCGTAGCCCTTACCGGATGGGGTGGGCGCCTTGGGCACCCACATGGCGTTGTACATGGGCCGGCCCATCCACACGAACTTGGGCAGGTGCGGCGGTCGGGGCACGTAGCCAGGAACCTGCCGGACGAGAAGAAGCGTCAGTCGTCAACTCAGATGGCGCAGGTCACGAGAATGGTACAGCGTCAGATGCAAATCAAGTCAGCGAAGTGCAAGTCATTGAGATAAATGTTCCAAGTTGCAATTGTATATTTAGTTTGAAGTTTGCACCCGTACAAAACAGAGCACCAGGTACTTCCATTACACGGCAAAAACCTTGTTTTCTAGTGCCCCTATCTTGGCTACTGAAGCATCGCTGCTTTGCCTAAGATTCCGCATCGCTTGACACTCAGCATTTACCCACGACGCTCCGTACACTCGCAAGACACTCACGTGGTATCCGGGTCCCGCCCACTTGAACTCCTCCGACGGGCCAGCCGGCTCGATCTTGTACTTGGGACCTCCGCCTCCCTTTCCGTAGCTGGAGTGTCCCTTGGCGGCGGGGTAGTCGGCCAGTGCCAGCGGCACCGCCAGCAGAAGAAGCGCCGCAACCCTACAGGCGGCCATGATCTGAGGGAGAAGGGGGAACGGGTCAGTTGGTGGAGGCTTGGAGGCATAACGCGTGCAGGGAGGGTATCGTGTTTGAACGGGGTCAGTGACACCTGGACACCTGGAAGTGACACCTGGAAGCATGCAGCACGCGGAGGTCAGTCGACGGGCTTTGGTAAGCCAGGGGATTTCACAGCAATGTGGCGAGGTTGTGACGGCAAACAGCGAGAGGTTACAATACATCATTATCGAAGCTTGTGCCCGTAGTTCGGCACGACAACTTTTCATTGTTTCTCGCTCCATGGCTTTAATCAGCCCATTCAGACATCGTAATGACGGAAACCATGGGACTCCAAACACAAAGCCTTGTCATGTGTGATGTGTGTGAGAGCGTTCCAGATCTTCAGTGTACTCGTACATATCGCTTGACCGCCATCCACTTTCACGTATTTTGGTCCATGCTCTGTCAGACCGGTAGGCTTCTCTGGGGCTCAGTCATTGGCTCATTATTCCCACATTAATCATCGTGTGAATATGAGGTGCTGCCCGCCTGCGCATATGCTTCTGCACTTTTTTGACTGAACGATAGTCGATATTCAATATCAATGAGTACATTTAGCGTCACGGAATTACTTCGCGCCATCTCTCACTCACGGTCCTCACCAATCCCTTCACTCCGTTCTTCTTCTGTCTCTCCTTGATATCTCTCTCCACTCTCCCTTCCCCTCTTTCTCTTTCTCTCTCTCTCCCTCCCTCCCTCCCTCTCCCTCCCCCTCCCCTCTCTCCCCTCTCTTTCTTTTTTCTCTCTCTCTTCTCTCTCTCGCTCTCTCTCTCTCTCCCTCCCCTCTCTTTCTCTATTTTATTTCTCTCTCCCTCCCCTCCCTCTCTCTCTCTCTCTCTCTCTCTCTCTCTCTCTCTCTGTCTCTGTCTCTCTCTCTCTCTCTCTCTCTCTCTCTCTCTCTCTCTCTCTCTCTCTCTCTCTCTCTCTCTCTCTCTCTCTCTCTCTCTCTCTCTCTCTCTCTCTCTCTCTCTCTCTCTCTCTCCTATCACTCCACCTTCCACAATACCGTATCACCGGTCTCTATCGAATGTAGGTCCCCACCGCAGCCGCTACCGCTCCCGACGTTGACCTCACGCTCCAGACATTGTCACGAAGTTCTCAGTAGGGAGTTGCCGGTGACACGCTTCTCAGGCGCGGCCCGGACGTAGTTCCCCGTCCGTTTACAGCTGACATGTAAATCAGACACTGGGACATTGACGGAAACGGATATTGGTAATGAATAGTTAGGATGTGGATGAAGTAGTAAGAATGATGAATGGCGAGGAAGGCCTAATCTGTTGGAAAGGGAAGCAAAGTGGTGCAAAAACATAGTCGACAAAAGAGACAGTAGCATAGAACACATGCTGATGATAGGGTATCGTACCGAATGGAAGACATTCGTCATGGAAATGTAACAGAAAGTAACTACGCAAGCAGGCCTGGTGTTTGCAGAAGTTTATAACAACTATGCGCATTGATTCAGCATATTTTTTGTTGTGCTGTCGGTATAATTACTTTGTTTTCCCACGGTGACTTCAATGACTGTTTTGCTATCGGTATTATTTCTGTTCGGTCCAATGCACCTATGGTCAAACACCTGTGTGCAGCCTACCTACCATCCGAAGTCGTCAGCCCCAGGTCGTGAAAGATTTCTACCATCTTATCTCTGCCTCGAAACAATTATGGCAGACCGTCTTTTCACCCATTATCCAGTATCCAGTTCCATATAATTATTTCCCGAGTAAGTGATTAAGTGAAATTGCGCCACATATGTCGTGGCACCTCAATCATCCGTCAGATTTAGCGCAGCTGTCGGAAAACAGTTAAGCGAATCGTCAAAATCGGTACTGGACACGCAAATGGTACATAATTGGCGTTAGAGCGATTTATGGCACAGTTTTCACCCTCATCCGTGGCTTCCCGTCGTCAAGCATAATAAAACGTCTTATGACCTTTGGATGCAGTGGGTCTTATGACCTTTCCTCAACATCTTACACCCAGCGTTGCCCGCAATCGGCTACGAAATGTCTCTCTGGGCTAATATCGTCAATTGAAAATAGGTTTATATTCGTCTAACGAGCTTGTGTGCTAAAATTCGCAGCCATCGGAGGCCATTTGACACGGGATAAGTGGCCAGACGTGCTCAGGTCACAGGTCACTGACACGGGACCCTGTGGCTCGGTGCTCGTGCTACCGGAAGTTAAGACTTCCGGTGGGGTCAGCGGGGTCACCCAGCGGAAGTGACCCGGCTCCAAACCAGGCTGCTGGTAATGAGGGCCTCCGAGAAAGACTGAGAGGCGTTGCAAGGCTCAGTTGGGCATATTTTGACAGCGTATGACATTCAGCATGTCATATTGGCAATGAAATTCACTGAAGAAGTTCACTCTTCCGATGCTATAACTAGCGATAAACAAGAAAATGGTGTGTGCTTTGAGCATATCAAATATTAACGAAGCGAATAAGCGTTAGCAAGAAGTTTATACCCACGACGTTATCCCCAGTCTCTCCCTCCCTCTCTCTCTCTCTCTCCTCTCCCTCTCTCTCTCTCTCTCTCTCTCTCTCTCTCTCTCTCTCTCTCTCTCTCTCTCTCTCTCTCTCTTTCTTTATCTCTCTCATCCCCTCTCTTTCTCTGTCCTTTATGACGGCCGATGTCCTTGCACCTGGAACGGATACACCGTTCACCAATTCCTGTCACGGTCCAGGGTGAGGAGTGACGGTAGTAATCACCAGACAGCGATACCGTCACGATCAAGCGCCTAAATCGGCGTCACAATCGGTTTTCGATCCACTTTCGAGAGCCAATATCCGTTATCCAGAGCAACTAACTATAGATTATAACCTAATTCGCCATGCAGCACAACTTTAGGCTTGTGCTCTATCCGCCTTGCAGTTCGGCGCCGTTTTCGGCAATATATTTGATCTCCAGTGCCACGATTAGCGCTAGACTCACTATCCAACACCACGAGGCAGAATTAGATTTGCTACTTATACTCGTATGTAGGTACTTCAGGGTGTAACGAAATTATCCGGACATCTATTTTTTCGCCATATCTGCTCGCACAGTTTCTCTTTTAATGTCAGAAGCTGGAAAATTGGATGAATGCATACCTCTGGTATCTGCTCTCAACTCAGCAGTGACCTGACCTTGCGAAATGACTCTTGCTCTGAGTAAGAGTCGAGTCGCCGACGGGTTCATTTGATAGTTTTCGTTTAAGGCAGGGGAGAGAAAGGAGTACAGTCTCTCGTTTCGTAGTAAGGCTACGTGTTGGTGGCATGGTGGCATGAGCCAGAAGCTGGTCGGTCAGCAGCTGGACATCAGCAGCAGCCAGTAGCACATCTGCCTGAGGCGTAATAAGCTGGGACTTGGTGGCAGACTCAGCCCGGCCTCGATCGCAAAAGGCGCCCTTTGCCAAGTGGTGAGGAGAGTTGTCAAGATAGCGACAAGGAAACGGCACCAATTAATCCGCATACTGACTCGAATTCTTACCAAGGCAGATAATAAGAGGTCCCACATCATGATTCACCGTTACCCGCCCTTTAGCTTGGTTTTACTGCCCTTCAAACTGGAAAAGACAATGAAATTGACGGGAAAACAACCAGTCCACCACCTTTGGCTTCAGGCCAGGGCGTGTCCACTGGTCGAAGGAAGACACGAATGAGGTGACCTGGTCGAATGGGAAGCTGTTCGAGCTGCGATACCCGTTGAACCGTCAATTCGGCCATGTGTGGGCTGCCAGCAGCTCGAATGTGCCGGCCGTCGCCGGCGTCAAACATCCGGCCAAAATTAAGACCTGGAGCATGTTCAGCTGCTGTGTAATATTCAAGCTGTTCATGACGACACAGAAAACCACTATCAGTGACGAGTATTACCGGCGCAACATCCTGGCTAGCGATTGGTTGGAGCCACTCAACCACACGGCACAGGATGGCTCGGTTTCTGTGCGTGTACCGATGCCTGATTCAAGCCGCGCAGTCTTCATACGGGGCGGCGCACCACCTTCAAGTCCCTAGCACTTAGCAGAATGAGAAGTGATGCCGAGAGGACCTTTTTGTTCTTCTGGGCTAAAGGGCTATGGCTTGGAAATAGTTCCCATGCAATTCCATCGATATATTATGGACTATTGTCCATCAGGAGATGAATGAGGGGGACACCCGCCACCAGCGCCGCCCAACTGCGGGCACAGGTTAGTAAGGCGCTACTCTATATGAAACCCACTGTGCTGGAAAATCCAGTGGCTGGAATGCTCCAAAAATGTGTACCTGCGCTCTTATGAAAGGTGGCTATATAATAATTCAAAAGGGAAAATATCAGAATGTCTTGCTTCTTAATTACAGCGCGAAGAAAGATGTCCGGATAATTTCGTTACACCCTGTAGGTAGTTCCTTTGGGTGGTGGATCTGTAATCGAGAGCTAGTTACTCTCGGCGACAGACTTGTTATTGAATGTCGGGCGCTACTCTTTCCGCTATTCATATCCAATGACCATTAGCGTCATGGTCCGTCCGCTATTCATAGCCAATGACGATAAGCGTCATGGTTCTATACCGAACCTGTCCTATTCTTCGTCCTTGACGGTGGGCTTCCGCCACCTTCCCCATGCCCGTTGTCTATTTCCATCCATGGAGTGACAACCGCAACGCATCGCTAGCTGAAGACGAAAGAGAAATGGTGCTTTCGGCTTGAACCGACATGGTTCGCTACGTGTCACTGGGCCCAGTGTAGTGGGACTTGTGAGTGCGAGACGCGTGAAATACGTGAAACGTGTGAAATACGAGTAAACGATGACCTTGCGACTACACTAAAAAAATATTTGGTTTGGCTCGTGAATCGTGAGATGGAACATTCTGCCATTCTGGTGTGCAATACGGGGTTACGGGGTGGTGTGCAATGTCGGGGAGCTGACGAGTGAAATAAGTGGAATTATAGGATTGTTTTCATTAGCTTTCGTTGTACGGCCCTCCAGCAAAAGAGTGGTAGGTTAACCTATGTGCTTTTGGTGTAATAACTTGAATGGCAGAGACACTCCCTCAAAATGACTCAATAGAAATGAGAAGAGGGTTCGTGCACACATTTCGGCAATGGGTTTCAACAGCCATTAGACGTAGGTATTCATCAATGCAGATCGCTTATTGTGATGTTGGCAACCAACCACTAAATATCTGGAGGGCCGTACATGTGATTTGAGATTCCTACGAGATTTTGGCGTCCGGATAGAAGCATCCGTGAGTTATCTTCCATCGGGTGGGCGACGTTTTAATTAGGCCCCTGGGTCACGGATTTTTGGACGGATTACTAGGACTGCTCGTGTGGCTGACGGGGTGGTAATTGACGGGAATAGTGGAAATAGTGATTGAAATATTATTGACGGGAATAGTGGAAATTGAAGCGGAATTGGCACGTGACCAATGGTTTCACACACCGCTGGCCAGGGGAGTGAGAGTAGCGCGCGCTCACCAATGGACCTGACTCTTCCAGTATGGTTCCTCCTATAAATGAATCTATTTCGCCTCTTCTCAAGGTTGCATTAATGTGTTTTACAGTCCAGACTGACCTGCATGTCGTACGCAACGAAACGCTTTGCGTTACAAAAAAAAGTTAGTAATTTTCTTTGGTTTTATGTCGTGGCACTTGAGAAAGAAGAGTAAGGGCGTGAAAGAGAGAGTGAGGTAGAGTGTACCAGCCTGTTAGAGAAGAGAGGAGGTAGAGTAGGGAAGGAGTGTAACACCACTCCCCTCTGCACCATAGCCGGCACCTTCGCGTCGGGAGGAAAGCGAAATCGCATCAGAAGACGGCGGGTCTATGGTCGGGCCGGCGTGGTGAGAATCATGATGAGCTTCATACATTTGCTAGAAAGGGTTGTTGCTGAGGACATAAACCATCGTGAAATAGGAATAAAGTGTCGGAAGTGTAGGAAGCCGGGGGTTGTGTTAATAATTCCGCCCAGCCAGACCTACACCCTCACGATTCCCGTGAACTCACGAGTCTCCTGAATTCGTGAGTCTCGTGAACTCACGAGTCTCGTGAATCGTGATCGGGTACTCACTGCGGTGTCGGGTGATGTCAGTCTCCGGCGTACTGGCAGCGGCGTCCGGTCGAGCTCAGGTCACCAGCCCAACTCCCGAAATTCTGAAAAGGCAGAGGATCTCCCGTCAGTTTAGCCCGTGGCCATCGTCAACCTCTTTACATGCGCCACTGCTTTCCCGAGTCGTTCGGCTGGCCTACTGTCTCACATCGACGAGCCTTACGGATCAGTTTCCAACGAAAATCAAACATGACATCGCCTCTCCGACCATACGGTCGAGATTTCCGCTCCAGCTGGCGGCGCTGGCGACCTTCTCGCCACCGCGCGGGCGTGTCAAAGGCTCTCCGCGTGCGGCCTCCGCGGAGGGTGGAGGCAACGCTGAAAGAGAAACCTGTCTCATGTCTGGGGGATGCTGCGGCGGTCGCGCAGAGGAGAAAGCGACCCGGTCATCAGGGCTCGTCAGGGGCGGCGGCAGCGCGCCTGATAGCGTGCTCAGGTATGCCGACAACGTCCTACAGGCGTACTTGGTCGGACCCAAGGCGACTTCGCTTTCGCTTTCTCATGCAATGCCGCGTGCCTGTGCGTCGACGGGAAAGTTGTTGGAGATGGCACATTGACTTTTTATGCGTCGTATTACTTCATATTGTCCAGCATTATCATTTTGTCTCTTTAGTCAATGGTCATTTGTCCAAAGCTGTCTGACCTGAGTGACCCTTGCCCATCTCGAATGACTACTTTTTACAACCCACCGTAACATCTGGTCTGGCTCAATTCCCGCAGACAGTAATACCACAAGCGTAGAACCACGTGCGTAATCTCAACAGGATTCCATAGGCCAGATGGTCCACGCTAACTGGTATGACATCACTGGATTTTGTGGCCCTGCTTGTGGCGACTTTGGTTTAAGTGCGGCAGGAGCCGGGTGACCATGTTACATAGCTGGATTATATTGTGCTCCAAATTTCAGGGTAGTGTCTGGACAGATGCCGTAGAAAGCAGACAGCAGTGAGAAGAGAGAAGTGTAGCGATCTAATGCATTTTGATGTGACCTGTGATGCTAGTAAAAGACAGCTCTGTCAAACACACATTCATGTGCATAATTCGTGAACTTGCAATGTAATGTAGCAAGAAATACCCACAAGAAATAATAGGTATGGGTAATAATGAATGGCGAAGGCAGCATTGACTTCTCGGAGTTCTGGGAACAGCAGTCATGCGATCACTTCTGATAATCTAGTACATATTTTCTATGTAATTTGAGGTCGTATAATTCAAATGTCTCTGACCCGTTGAAGAACCATCGACGAGAAATTACTCGAGCGAAATCGATGGAAATTAATGAATGAATTTTGAGTGGAATGAATGAATGAAGCATTTGACCCGAATCCAAGGACTAAATGATTCGACTACCCTTTATTGGTTCGGTGAAACTCATTAGACTAAGATGAGGCTTCTCGACTGGCTTCGCGTTATCTCTGCCACGGATGTGATCTTTTTGACAGATGCAAGATAATTGTCTCTTTGTCGTTTGTATATCCTATAAGCAGAATGCGGACCAAAGCTAAGCTAAACGTTCGAGTTGGCCGAAGTGATGCTGACAATGGAAACGCTGCTGACAATGGAAACGCAGTGAGCAAATGAACAGCATCAACAAATGACGAGCTGGAAGTTTCAGTAGCGTCCAGGATCTGTTAAATGCACCTTCATTGTAATGTCACATGATCTTAGAAAAGAGACCGTAAGCTATGCGCAATAGGGGTACCCATTTTTGGGTCAATTTTTCAAATTTTAGGTGGGGGTGGATTTTCCCATTATTTGGTCTATTCTGATTCCATCTATGCTAAAAATAGCGAAATCAAACGATTTCTAGGGGTCGCGAATTCAAAATGAAAATGCCAGTTTTAGCGAAAAATCGACCAAATTAATGCTATTTTATTTTGGAACAAGGTTACCATGCTAACAGGTGGGAGTCAATTTTCCCATTATTTGGTCCATTCTGATTCCATCTGTGCCAAAAATAACGAAACCAAACTATTTCTAGAGGTCACGTATTCAAATTGAAAAGGTCAATTTTAGCGAAAAATCGACCAAATTAACATTATTTTATGTTGGGACAAAGTTACCATGCCAACGGTTTGGGGTCGATTTTATCATTATTTGCTCCGTTCTGGATCTAGCAGTGACAGAAATAACGATATCAAACCACTTTTAGGGATCGCGAGCTTGCATTGGAAGTTTTAATTTTACTTGGAAAAATGACTTCATATGAATGGATATAAATGCGCAAAGCCTGAATGTGTTGCAGTGGTATTAATGACTGTTGGACACCGTGCAACATTGCTTTAGTTGTAGGTATATTCGACGTGCAGCGGTAAAAGAGAGCACCAAAAATATCATTTTGGTCAATGAACAGCATATGCTCATTTACACTCACTGTGGCTTAGACCGTCATTAGTATCTACATTCTACATATACACAAGACCGTAACTCTTAGAACGACTGGCTATGTAGTCAGAGGGCTCAAATCAGTGATCGAAGCTTTCTCATTAGGACCATTTAGTTTTCAATGAGTCGTCTTATTCAGCAAAAGAAATGACTGAACCCCAGGACGTAAACAATGAATATTGACACAATCTGGGTGGGAGGGGCATTAAAAGCCGTTACGGATGTGACGATATAACTCGTGTGTCGTATTGTAACGGAAATATGGCATGAAGTAGACAAATAAGTTGTTAATGGCCTATTTAGATCTTTAACGAGATGAAAACAGCAGTGAAGCTATGCCGGTATGCATGACCTTTGCCAATTCGCTAGCCGACCTCCCCTATAGTCCCGGAGTTGCAGACACGGCTGAGGGAGGGGCGCAAGCTTTACACCACCGCGCCGTTGGGTGACTGCTGTATGAGTGTAGCTTTGCCCCTCTCCCACAAACACCCACACCCACATACAGACTTTTGTTTAGACTGTTGACATATTGTTGACTTGAGACGGGTGCAGATATCATGTCATGGAACTAGTGCCTGGTGATGGCCGCTGCCAGCAGCATCCTTGCAAGATAACGGACCTTACGCTGCACTCTACAGGCCCATTCCAAACCCTCAGATGGTGCTGAACTGAAGTCGAATGGCATTGCCTAAAGCTGGAAATTAGGAAGGTGCCAAGTCTAAACGACTCAGCCAACTCCGAGGCAGATCCGTTTACTGACTCCTGGCATTGCCTGGGGGCCGACACATTGGGTGGGCCATGGACCTTAGGTGGCGGACCTAGTTCTCCTCGTCTTCAGCCTCTGCACGCACACTCTTTTAAATGACGCCGCGTCCTGGTTACCACCATATACGGCCCATGCAGGATGAAAATCTTCTGTTTCGTTAGGGTCTTCAGATTCAGACGCCAATTACCTCAGATCACAAGTGATCTGTGCAAGGAGCTGTGAAAGGTCTTCGTCACTTATCAGCTATGCACGTATCAGCGCATGGCTAGTCGCCCGTGGTCGAAAATGCAAAGTCGTAAATGATGTGCAATGTGCATTGTATCGGAAACTCTTACACTTAAGACGTGTACTCGTATCTGTCCCCACTGAAGAAATGGAATAGTAGGTACATGGTTGGTAGGCATTGAAAGAATCGACGCTTTGGAGTTTATGTTTTTGAATTAGAAGTTGATATTTTTGGGTAGAACACCCATATTTATTCTACCTTGTCTCATACGTGTATTACATCGTAGCAGTCAGCGTCCAGGACGGCGTGTCTTGTGGAAGTATACGGTCAAAATGGTTTGATCGTTTTTGAATTACATGGTTTGAAGTCCATTCGGAGCCATAACCTGTGAGATGTATCCTGAGCTAACTTGCGGAAACTTTAATTGTATGGACACAAAAAGCCTGCCATGAACTGAGATGTGGCAACTGAAACGTCAGACTCATAATATTTAAGTTTGACCTCACAGGTCATCAAAGGTCACCAATACATAAGGTCACCAAAGGTCACATGAGGGCAGAAGATATCAAAAATGATTACACGCCGACCAGAATGATACCAACAACAGGAGGCGCATCACGGCGCTTTTCACCAAATGTTGCAATATCGACTTGTATTGATCGCTAGTAAGGCATTTAACCGGAACCACGTGATGGAGCACATCGATCTGGATGAAAAAGGAGCGCTCAATGACCCCTCTACCCGACTTTCGAAACAAAAAGTTTGCCTTTGGTGCGATTAACTATCAGCGTAAAATAGGCATATTTCTAGGTAAATACGCAAATTTCAATCTCATTCGCGACCCCTAAACCACCTTTGATTTCAATATTTTTGGCATCATTGGAATCAGGAGCCGCGAAATAATGGGAAAAACCACCCCCACCGTCAAATTTCCAAAATCGGGAAAAATGGGTACCCCTAATGCGCAACCTAAATAGACGACCTGGACCAGTTCTGGATAACTCAACTCCATCGACCTGCTTGTCCACCGCAGTAAATTTCCCGTTTCCATCCACTTAAACGATCAGCGACCAAACGAAAGCGAGGAGTCCGCCTCAGTGGGAAGTTTCCCATTCGGAATCATCCATAACGACGGAAACGCACGCTGTAGGGACGCATGGCTCAGCCTTTACCCGGCAGAAAGCGTAACCTGCGGTTCGGTTCACTGCTTGCCACGAGCTATCGCACCTGATTTCGGTGAAAAAGGCACCGTAGCTAAATGCTAAATGCCCTTTTGGAAAGATCTTTTCGGATGAAGTTACTGTTATGTCGCCGATGTTTAGGCTACGGTTGTTTCCAATTTTCACATGACACATTAAATCTTGAATTAAGAATTCCATGGTTTCGATTGGTAACACTTTCACCAGTCATTCGATGTACGTGAAACAGCAGTCAGTCACTGTGAACTATGGCTGTAACACAAAGCGGGCTTGAAGCTCATCATTTCTTTGGCAACAGTCTTCAACTCAGTCGCATGCGAAAAATGATTCCCACGAACACGCATATTAGTGCACTGAAATCAGTGTCAAGCCCCAACAAACTGCATTCACACATGACACAAGCACTACATATGCGAAACCCTATACGAGTGAAGAAACTTTGTGCGAACTGGCGTTATGTGAGTAAAA